GTGAATATTAATATATGGAGATATACCTATCTCATAGAACTGGAAGGGACCCCAAAAGGTCATTGAGTCCACCCCCCTACCTTCACTAGCAGGATCAAGTACTGATTTTTGCCCCAGATCCCTAAATGGCCCCCTCAAGGACTGAACTCACAACCCTGGGTTTAGCAGGCCAATGCTCAAACCACTGAGCTATCCCTCCCCCCAAGCTCTCATTAGACCTAGTGCATTCCTAACAGGTTCATTTTTTATAACATTTTCCTATCATGGGATGTAATTTCAACCTTAAAATGTTTGAATTGCATTTTGGGTTGATTTCCCTTGATCTAGACAAGGCTTTCGATCACGTAGATCAGGGGTCGGCAACCTACGGCACGCGTGCCAAAGGTGGAACGGGAGCCAATTTTTACTGGCATGCTGCTGCCAGCCGGGGTCCCGGCCGCCGACCCCGCTCAGCCCCCTGCCTGCCTGGGTGAATGAAATCCTAGGCTGGCCATGGGCTGAGCGGGGCCGACGGCCAGGACCCTGGCTGGCAGGAGCTGGCAGCTGGAACTCCAGACCGTCAGCTGGTTGAGCCGCGTAGCCCGCCGCCGGTCTGTGGTTCCTGCCGCCACCCCCGCTCAGCCCACTGCCGGTATAGGGCTCTGGCCGCCTGCCCCTTGCCAACTGGGGTCCTGGACCCACTCAGCCTGCTGTTGGCCTGAATGAAAGGAACCCTGGACCAGCAGCAGGCTGAGCGGGGCCGGCAGACAGAACCCCAGACCGGCAGCGGGTTGAGTGGCTCAGCGTGCTACTGGTCTGGGGTTCTGTCTGCCGCCTGCGCTGCTGGTCTGGGGTCCCGGCTGCCGGCCCCGCTCATCCCGCTGCCAGTCTGGGGTTCTGTCGGGGGCCCCTGTAAATGTAAAATTTATTACTGGCACGCGAAACCTTAAATTACTGAAAACTTGGTACGCCACTTCTCAAAGGTTGCCGACCCCTGGTGTAGATCATGTCTTTATTTTTTGTGTCCTTTGTGATGAAGGTGAATGGTGTTTTGAGAAGCTCCTTTTCAGCCTTTAGGGTTATCAGACAGGGTTGTTCCCTTTTTGGGTTATTATATACTTTTTCTATCAAACCTCAGTTATGCACATTGTGAAAGCGCCTTTCTGGCCTTTCCCTCTTCCAGCTTGTACTCTGGTGAAAGTTGTCAGATATGCTTATGATATGACTGTGTTTATTACTCATGATTGTGATGTTCAAATTTTGACTGCACATCAGCACTCTTTTGAGAAGGCTTCCTCAGATTGCAGAAACTGGAGGAAGAATGACACCCTCCTGCTATGGGCTTGGGTGATTTCCTTCCCCCTCCCACTTTGCCAAGAGGCTATTGTGGCGCTGAACTGACTTTAAGATACTGGGCATTATGCTGGAACCAGATGGTTTTTTGGGTTGGAGTTATGGAAAAATTGGAGGGGAGGTTGCAAAGGTGTAAGGGATGTTTGCCTCGACACTCATTCCAAGGGCAGATGTTAGTCATTAAAAGTGCAATTGCCTCTGTGTTGTGGCATAAGTGCATAGTTTTGGATCCCTCTCCGAAGTTTTCTAGAAAACCTTTAGAACGTTCTTTTGGCCGTCATTGGCTAAGGCAGTGTGTTCTGTACTTGGCTGTTGTGAAAGCAGGGGGGGTCATGGTCTCATTGATTTTTTGATCAGAGTTGCTACTTTTCAGTTACAGTTTCCGCAGCAGCTGTTTGTGGATGATCCTGTTCCTTGGAAGCAACTAGCTGTTGCTTTTCTTCAGCCGGTAGGGGATTTGGGTTTTGATTAGGAACTTTTTTTTTTTGGCTGAACCCCATATTTATAGCCCTGCTGTGAGGATTCCTAGTCTTATTTCAAAGAGTCTTGTTTCTTCCCTTATTGCAGCAGGTGCAAGAAAACTGATTCTTTTAATTGATGTTTGTTAATTTTACCCGGGTCGCGGGAGATATCTTGGTTGCCAAGGTAGGTTTCATTCTGTTGCTGGGTTTCTTGGTTTTTAGCAGCGGTGGAATCAGCTCAGCCTAGGGGCAGCATTGCCAGACTTGACAGTTGTCTCCTCGAGTGAGCCATTCCCAATTATCCTCATGTTTCTATTTTCTTGCCTGTTGCGGATTGGGATGTTGACAAGCCTGGCAACTTGTTTACCTTCAATGGCTTATCTGAATTTACTTTTCATAGCTTAGGCCACAGGGATGCTTGTGGTACAGCTTCGTCATTTTCAAACACTTGGTGATTAACCTGCTATGATGTCAAGACGACAGCATTTGGTGACGGACTCCAGCCATCCAGCCTGGAGAACTGTATACAAGCTCCAATTGTAAAGCGGATGGATGATCTCCAATGGGAAGTCTCCCTAGGGCTAGTGCCACGAATGTGTTTGTGCATCATTTTACTCTTAAAGTGTCTGTGTTATGTCCTTTTTTTGTGACATGGAGACTTTTTTCATATGTTTCTTACGTGTTCCAGGTTACTACCATAATTTGTTTTAATTCAGGCAATTTTTTGGTTATCGTCCCTTGATTTTTCTCCTACTGTATTTATTTTTACTTTTAAGTATAGGTTCACAAATAGAGCCTTGCAAACTTTATTTTGGGTCAAGCAAAGATGGCCATTTAAAAAAGTTGGTGGTGTAAGCTATTTGGTACTAGGGTTGCCTATATTCTTCAGTTCTTTTAGATTTGTAATTTGTTTTATGCCTTCATCTGGAGTTTAGGTATTATAGTCTTATAAGTGCTTTGGCTCAATATATTCAGTGGTGGCTATTGGAAATGCACTTTATTCTGTCTGGGATGGGCAATTATTTTTGAAGTTGTAATTTATTTTCTTGTTTTTACTGTGTTTCTGTACTGATTTTATTAAAAGGGTTTTAAAAAGTTTCTCTCCCTCCCCCTCTCCCCCTTCCCCTAATCGAAACAGCATATTTTGGCAAATATTTATTTTGTCAAAAATGTTCCGACCATCTCTACTTCTGGGCACTGATGTCTGTGAAAGTATGTTACATCTATTTAGCATTCTTTGGCTTGAAGTGGGGCCTAGCAAGATGATGGCTGCAGAAAACTGGAAGAAAGACCCCTCTGGAGAATTATTATTATTTTAAGGAACGTCTTGATACAGTGTCAAGGCTCATCTGTACAAGGCATAAATGTTTGCAGATTGCATGCTAAAGTGCTCAGAAAACAAATGAACCAATACCCAAACCAGCAGTTACAACCATTAAGTTAAATCTTGCATAGAATCCTCTCAAAGCTTGGATGAATTGGTGATAAAATCAAGTATGAGCTTGGAGTTCAATTGTTGTAAAATTGGAATAATGTAGTGGTAAATCAGGCCAAGTGTCTTAATAAAGCTAGGAAAAATTCAGTGTTTTTTGTGAATAATTTTGCACAAGAACTGTCACTTCCATTTCATGAGAGCTTGCAACACATCAGAGTTTGATGTCTCAGTTTGATGCAATAGTAATTTTCATACCACATGCAAAACTATATCTTGGGTATATTTTTAATATAAATACCATCTCTAAAAATGGGCCCATTTTTGCTCAGAATTTTTTTGCTAGGAAACAGCCTATTGCCACTTAAAAATAGTCACTGTTTTTTTAAAGGAAAGCATACTGTGAAGAAGTCTATTATGTCCATAACAAAATGATAAAAAACCCCAAACATCCCTCCAACCAAGCAATTAACATCATATTAAGTCTAGATAGATAGAATTTCAACTGTATTTATTGTTGTATTTTTGTTTGCCCTATATTGATAGTATCACCTGTTTTTTTTTAAATAACCTCTTCTGTGCACTATTATCCTGATACAGAATTCAGCAGAGTATTCTGAAACATGAAATTAAAAGTAGAATAATTATATATTTAAAATTTACTTCACTAAAGCCACAATTCAGCAAAGCATTTAAGCACATGCTTCATTTTAAAATGAAGCATGTGCTTACATCCCACTGATTTCAAAGGCTTGTCTAAGCATGTGTTTAAGTGGTTTGCTGAATAGGGACGTGCTTCATTATGTGCTTAAAACTAAGTATGTGCTTACATGCTTGGCTGAATCAGGGTCTAAAAACTCTTCAATTTATCATCTACAGAGTGCTTTTTGCTGTAGTTGCCATTCTTTAAAATATAATTATTTTCAATTTATCAGAGGAGTAGCCGTGTTAGTCTGAATCTGTAAAAAGCAACAGAGGATCCTGTGGCACCTTTAAGACTAACAGAAGTATTGAGATACTTGCATCTGAAGAAGTGAGGTTCTTACCCACAAAAGCTTATGCTCCCAATACTTCTGTTAGTCTTAAAGGTGCCACAGGACCCTCTGTTGCTATTTTCAATTTGTATAGCTCGTAAAGAAAATTTCTATAGATGGCCTCTGACTCCGGTTGAGATCCATCATATTTTTGCTAGTAGAGAGGGGCTCTATTGGAGGGGTTTGCAGAGAAAGGGGAACATATTTGCACATGTGGTGATTATTAAAAAGATTCTTCTTACTTCAAAATGCCAGCTTCCCAGGGATCCCCTGACCTGCTTACATAATGCTCCAGTAAAAGATCTACATTTTAAACAGAATGACAAATTAATATCTTTTTTATGGTTAGCGGCTAGACTCAGGATTGCACATTATTGGAAATGTGGGACCCCTCCTCCTCTGGAATTATAGTATAGTAAAATATGCACTGTCCTTGTAATGGAAAAGACTCCCAGCAAGTATGTACACAAGAGAAGCACCAAAACCAGGATAAGAATTTAGAAATTTGGCCATCCTTTCTAGCATATTCCTCAGGGCTCCCCAGCCAGAATCTTTAGTCATGTTCTTTAAATATTTACTTGATCCTGAATAAGTAATGTACAGTGAAGTATGTGAATGATTTATTGTAATGTTGCCTTAACAAAAAGTTTTTAAAAAATGTTTACAAGCACTATGCTTTTCATTTATCCGCAAGGAAATTTGTACTGCATGGTAGTTCTACACAGCAAACACCAAGGAGAATAGAGAGATTCTGCTATACTTTATTCAATATCATGTTACAAGAAAACAGTTACAGCTGACAAACCATTACATCTTTCAGAATACAGACAAATTACAAATTGTAACAAATGTCACATTTATTTTACTGTACTGCTTACTATGCTGCTGCTCAGAAGTATGTGTATGTATTTTATACATATATATAAATTTTTATATATATATAAAATTACATTAACATTGTTTTCATGTACCAACCCCCTGTTAAAAAGAATGCCTCTTAATGCATCATACAAAAAGCCCAACTGAAGTTGGTGAGTAGGGATTTTGTATGCAGCACTGTCAAAAGCATTTTTTGGGTGGGATTTTTTGTGCATCCTTTTATTGTTGCTTATGTGAAAAAAAATGCAAGGCAGTAACATACAGTTATGTTGGTAGGGGAGATTATTGTTATAGGTGGCAAAACAACATATTTCTATTTATATGGGATGTCAATAGTTTGCCCCCAAGTATGTACAGCCTAAACATCATTTTATATAAACAAAGGTTACAAAACCAATAATATTCACAGATGAGTATTTTGTATAGAAGCATAACAGAGAATTGACAACATGTTTAGTCATGTGTGCACTTACAAAGAACACACTGAGGTGTATTTCTCCCACCAGTCAGTGGGCAATTGATTATTGTAACATCCTTTAGCATTAGTGGGAGTTCCCGGTGTAAAGTTCTCCCTCACACCAAAGGCAAGAATAGCCCCCAATGGCTGCAGCATTGCAGATAGAGTTTTCATGTGCTGCATGAACAGATTTGCTATCCTAAACAATGTTTTTCTGAAAAAAACCCCACCACCCAATCCAGGAAACTATGCAGTGATGTAATGATGATACTATCATAGTGCTAAGGGGTCCTGACTAATGCTGTGCAACTCCCTGCTGGGTCTGGTTCATGTGGGACAGATGAACTGAACCCAGCAGGACTGAAGATCAAAGCCAGCTGGAGATGGTAACGTATATGGTTACATTCTATGGACCTGAACTTCCAAGAAATCCTCCCTTCCCTCAGATCATCCCCATCACCACCTCTCCTTTCCCCTCCACCTACTGTTAATGTCTTTATGGAGCTAGGACATGCCTTTGCACTTTTATTGGCCCACTGTCACTCCCCTGGATTTTCAGGGATGCCAGACAGCTGCCCCCCTTCCCTCAGGCAAAACCAGCACCTCCTCTCAACATCAGGAAGCATCAAAGGACCAGCAAGGTGGTAGAAGGGAAATTATCCCACTGTTGCTGCCAGCCATGGTATTATTGACTAGGGGCAGGTAGTGTCCCATAGCTTCACAAACTATTGTGCTCTAGGGAGTAATGGCCATTCCTACCAATACTCAGCAGCTAACCCAGGGCTCTGGAGTGTGAAGTGCTACCTAACAGAATGCAGCGGCTGACAGCAGGAGGAGGATTCTTTCCTAGCTCCTGCTCCTCTCTTCCAGAGCCAATTTGCCTCCTCTTGCTTCTCTGAAGACCCTTTTAGATTTGGGGGTCAGCAGTGGGCCTGTGCGGTGCCTCCTGGAATGTATTTAGAGGGAAAATGGCCAGCCAGCACTTCTTAGGGGAGCAGTGGAGGAAACACCCAGTTTCAGGATGCTGCAGCAGGAGGACTGTTTGGCCTTCCAAAGAGAGATCCAATGTTTAGTTGGGGTTCCTAGTTGATGGGTATTGCAGGGTGACAACTCGCTAAGTAGGGGCTGCTGGAAGGAGAGGGAGGGGGAGCAGGGCTGTACAATCACAACCATCCAGGGCTAGGGAGCTTGTTGGCACCTGGCCGGATGTTTGCAGTTGCACTAGAACTCAGAGCCCTACCTGCTGTTGAGTGGGTTTGGGGATCTGTGTGAACCTTTTCAAAGTCTTACTCCAACCCCATCAGCTGTCTGAATAAAAGTTATCCATCCACCAAGACAGAAACGCTCACATTTCAGAACTTCCGCAAGAGAATAATAAATCTGCTAATGAGCACAGGCCACAATGTTCAAACTTGGGTGTTTGAAGTTAGGTGTGTAAATAAGTGACCTGATTGTCAGGAATGCTGAGTTCCCAAAACTCTACTGGGAGTTCAGAGGTGCTCAGCCCCTTTGAAAATTGAGTCACTTTCTATTGAGGCACCTAAATCTAAATTCACATACCCAACTTCAGGCACTCAAATTTGAACATTTTGGCCATAACATTAACGATTTCAATGGTTGTTTAAAAGGGGGAGAGAAGAGAGGGATATACACTTGATTTAAGCAAATGCTATGCTTGATTTACCATGGATAAGTAAGGTGCTAGACTAGTATCCCTCCGAAGGGAACAGTTTGGGGAATTACTCTCTATATCAAGCCACCAGATGTTTCATGGAGCAACATAATTGCTCACCCTCCCTATTTAAGCTGCCAAAGTAAAAGATATATGTCTAAGAAACTGCCCTTATTTTCCTAATTGAAAGCTTTGTTACATTTTCAAAAATTCTACAGATTTTTGAAGTAAAGCCTTTCTTAAAAAATAGCTAATTTTAAACATCAGATTGCATATGATTTAAGTAGCAAAGATAATGTACAAAAGATTTTTCTCTAAAAAATAAAATGAAACGTAACTCAAAGCAAATGACATAAGGCAATTTTAGTTTGTGATGAGTTTGAAAAGTTCAGTGGGCTTGCTGCTTATTTTTTCCACCTCCTGTCCTTGTAAGTACCAGAATGAATTTGTAGTAAGTTTTAAAATAGGATTGTGATTTAAGTAGCTTTCATGTAGTTTTTACAAGTTTCTAAACAACAGAGATGTCACAGGGGACATATGGTTTTAATGACTGTGCAACTATTGGGTATATTTTCACATCATAACTGTGTTTGAATGTACAGAACAATATTTACTGTAGTTCATAAGAGGAAACCTCTACTGGGAGCTTTTGAACAATCCAGGATTTGCCTTGTTGGGTGTTCTTTCCTAGTTCCCAACAAAAACACTGCTAGAGTTTAATAAAGGGGCGGTAACCCAACTCTTTTCCCCCTTCCCTCCAAACAAAACATTACATGCTAAAACAGTGTGTTTTTTTGGCAGTTGATGCATCCAGGAAGCAAAGGAACTTTACGTTTTGAATAAAATAGCCTAACAAGTCCTTCTGTTCAAGCACCATTATAACTCAACAGCAGATTTGCCCCATTCCCAGTCTCTCTGAATTAAAAGTTTCGTACATTAGGGCGATCATATTCCACAAGTTCCCCTCAAGCCCTGCCTCCCCAGTCCAGGGGAGCAGAGGTCTCCTTTTTAAAAATGACATGACTGCACTGTTTGCCAAGTTTGCATTTGAGAGATTCAGTCAAAAAAGAACTTAAATACACAGTAGCTGGTGGCGTCCTCCAATCAGATTAAAATGTCTAAGGAAAATAAGTGAAAGTGCTTTGGTGTGGAACAGCAAACATTTTAGATCAGGGTGACTTTTCATTTTGCTTTCTAAGAAGCAAAACAACAAAGGTAGTTTTAGTGGCTCATTCAGCAAATACTGTTTCTGCACCCTAGTGTCTGTCCTAAAGTAAACTCAATTCTGTTTCATGCTCTTTCTGTTTTCTTTTTCAAAAAATATTCCAGAAGTTAAATAGGGTGTGGAAAAAGTAAGTAAAGGTGGAGCCAAGACTTATAAAACATATTTAAAAATCTATATTAGCAAAGGGTAAGGAATTCATGACTGTATCTGTTAGTATAGTATGTCCTGTCATTTTTTCTTCACTGCAGGCCTACTTCGTAAAGTGGCATGCTACGCAGCCTATGCAGAATAACCAAATTCTGAGTTCTAAATAAACATGCAATTATTTCCAGGTTTTTAAAAAAAATGGATGTGAACATTCTGAAGAGGTAAAAATCCACTTTAGGAATAATGGCAAGATACTGTACTTGTCAGTCAATCTGAGGACTTGGGCTTGCTCTAGCTAGAAATAGCCTCCCTACTGGTTGAAAAATATGCCCAACTCTCAAAGAAAACACACATTTTTATGCCACTATTGACTTTTATGTACAGACATTACTGAACAAGTGTGAACACCAAATGTGTTGTCTTAACGTATTTAAGACCTTGCTGGTGTAAGCATAAAAATCTTTACAAAGACACTGTGCTGCAGTGGAAAATCAAACAAAATCAAACACAAAAGGCTGAAAAGAGTACATCCCATGTACCAGTAAGCAAAAGGTAAATCTTCACATAGTTCTCTGAAATCACAAGGTATCCAAATGCGTGCAAGGTTTTAAGTAAATTGCAGGGAAAAACTGGGTCTTGCCAGCTTCAGTTTTCTTTTGAATGAAATCCACCAGAGAGAGAAAAAGGAGACAGGGCCACGGTTCCTTCAAATCATTGGTCCCCTCATTAGGTTCTGTTTCCCTCCTGAAGAGTGGTGAGCGTAATCCTGTATGGAAAAAAGAGAAATTATAAGCAGTCTTATGACCTGCATCATTTTATGATTTCTGAACCTAAAAAATATGTTTGCCCAAAGCCAGCCCTCATTACTTTATTGCTCCCACTCTGACCAAAATACCACAAACCCAAAACATACTTAGATGAGGTGTCTCAACAAAGCAGCAAACCTAAAGCAGTGGTCCCCAAACTTTTTCTGTCGCACCCCACCTTACCCATAATGGAATCGGCCACGCCTCCAAGGGAGCCGCTGTCAGGAGCTGGGGCTGGGGCTTGGAGCGGGGCCATGGCCTAACTGAAATTCTGGGAGGCGGTCAGGAGTGGAGCCTCAGCTGGGGCTGGAACCCTCGATTGAGAGTGGAGCTGCGGCTGGGGGCGGGGCCAGAGATGGAGCACAGCTGGGAGCAGAATGGTGCTGGGTGGCGCTCTCTCCCCGCCCCCCATAAGGACTGGCCCAGGCCCCACTGCACATGCCTCTCCGAATGTTCCTCCACGTCCCCCAAGGGGGGCACGCCCCACAGTTTGGGGACCACTGCCCTGAAGCCAGCATTTTCCAATTGGGTGCCTAAACTGAGGAGCCTAAGTCCTTACTAGGGGATCTACATAAAAGTGGCCTACTCTTCAGAGGGGCCATGAGCACCAACGCATTCAACTGGAGTGTATACACAGGTATACGTCGTACCAGACAGCTGCCTCTGCAGGAGATGCTCACACCCTAGGCATGTAAAGAGGAACCTGCTGCTTATTAGTATAGCATTTGGAGCTTATAAGCTATGTCTGCTCCCTTTCCTTGCTGCTCATCCTGTACTGCACCTAGGGCCGGCTCCAGGCACCAGCGAAGGAAGCAGGTGCTTGGGGCGGCCGATGGAAAGGGGCGGCACATCTGGGTCTTCGGCGGCAATTCAGCAGCAGGTCCCTCAGTCCCTCTCTTCCTCTTTGAGCTGCCACCGAAGTGCCGCCGGTTGGCTTTATCTTTTTTGTTTTGTTTTGTTTTTGTTGCTTCGCCACTTGGGGTGGCAAAAAAGCTGGAGCCGGCCCTGACTGCACCCAGCAGTTGCACTAATGACCTTTCTCTTCTCCTAACAGAGGGCTGGACAGCTGAGGCTGATCTACCTAATAAACAGATACCCTCAGACTTTGCCCAAAAAAGGAGTTTGCTTATACATAGGTATATATAGCAAATAGCTCTGTAAACTCCACCTGGTAATGATAAACACCCAGGAACACAAAACACTCATTTTTATTCTGGTGCTTTTCTAGCATATGTATGTTGTAATCATTTCCCTAGTTTTATCTTTAAATCATGCCAATGATTTCCATTTCATCAAACTCACTCCCAGTTACTGATTCTGAGAAGATGGCTATGATCATTCTGCTATTTATTTGGGGCCAGCCAAACAGATTGAGGACCCGTAGGGCATGATCCTGAAGTACTTAAATAAAAATCTCATTGACTGTAATAGGAGCTATAACTGAGTAAGGGTTGTAAGGATCAGATCCACTGGAAGGATTTAAGTTTTGTCACTAGCACTTTTAACCTTTAAATGTCTCCAAATAGATTTCTGTACAAGCTCTTTGCTGATGAAGATCGGGAATTCTGCAATTACCTAAAGACAGGTTCGAAATACAGATATTGTTTTTAAAACAACAGGTTTTTTCCAAAAGATGAGATTTGAACTATGGGCACTTGTTACACTTTTAAGTGCAATTGCAAGGATAGATTCACATATACAAGAAAACAGCACTTAAAAAGGCAGTTACGTAAAAATATTTGTCAGACTTAGAGCTCTGTTGGTATTAGCACCTCCTAAAACTACACAAATCAAATGGCAGGCGCCACTGACTCCAGTCTATAAGGACCTCGTTTCAACACCAGGAAAGAAACAATGAAACAATCACCTGAAAAACTAATGCAAACTGCAGCTTCCAGCGTAAGACTTTAATTGCTTTTTTTCATCAGAAGTAGCTTAAACAATTTCCACCTTTTGCAATTTCTCTCTCTCCGCCCATGCCAGGCTCATTACCACAGTCCCTGAGTGCTCCTCTCCCTCTCCATTAGAACTACACAGCACCTGAACTAGATCAACAAGAACACATTATGAGTGGTGTGTGGCAGTTAGTGTCTTATGGCCTCTTGGAGTTTGTTCAACCATTTCTTGAGTCCTACGTGGGTTGTTTTCCAATTGCCTTTGTGATTCATGTTGGATGCCTACCAACACTTCACTCCTGGCATCCACATGAAAATCCCACTCTTCCGTTGGCTGCTGGTTATGGTTGATGCCTCAGTATCTCTGGTTTCAAAGACCATATTGAAGATGACCTCTCTAGTTGACACTTATGTAAGTTTAGCCCCCCCCCAAAAAAGTGCAATATTTTGGGGGTTAAAGTTTCACTAGTGCTCAATGGTGACATTTTGATAATATCCCCCAAATTCCAAGTTTTCCTAAACTAACACTGCTTAGTGGAAACCCCCACCATCCTCTAAGGAAGCAACTGAAAAACAGGAAGATTTATAGATCCTGGAGCCCGTTCAATGTTCAGTGGGGATAGATGGGTCTCTTGCAGCTTGGGTTTATATTCTGCACCCCTAACTTTGGTCTGGTTGCCTTGCTGATCCCTGTGCTGCTTAAAAAAATGTCATTGCAGGCAGAGAACAGCTGGCCAGACTATAAGGGTAAGCACATAATGCTGGAGTCCTAGGACTTGGTAAAACAAGCAAAGCAAACATCATCCAATACGAGTGGCAAAATGATTGGGACATAAGACAAGACCCTGTCCAGATGTTGCTTTTCAAATTAACCAGATCTGGGATAACAAAACTTGAGTCTCTGGCATTTGTAACAGAAGGACAGAGAAAGAAGTTTCCATTAAGGGCACAAACTGCTCTTTGCCACAGTGAACAAACAAAAAACTTTCCCAGGGACACAAATTTTCCAGTTGCAAAATGCCAAAATTCTCCAAGCTTTGGCTCTCCACGTAAAACTGATCAGACACAGACAACTCTCCAATGAAGGGCCAAGATCTGTGAGGTGCTACATGCCTCCTGTGTCATGCCAAGCACTCTCCAGTCACAAACAGATGTTCAGCACTTCACAGTATCAGGCCAGCAGTTGTGGAGAACACAAGAACCAGGGGTCACCCAATGGAATTAATAGGCAGCAGGTTTAAAACAAACATAAGGAAGTATTTCTTCACACAATGCACAGTCATCCCGTGTAACTTATTGCCAGCGGATGTTGTGAAGGCCAAAAGTATAACTGCGTTCAAAAAAGAATTAGATAAGTTCATGGAGGATAGGTCAAGGATGCAGCCCCATGCTCTGGGTGTCCCAAAGCCTCTGACTGCCAGAAGCTGGGATTGGGAGATAGGGAATTGGTCTCTTGCTAATTGCCCTGTTCTGTTCATTCCCTCTGAAGCATCTGGCACCAGCCACTGTCGGAAGACAGGATACTGAGCTAGGTGGAGCATTGGTCTGACCCAATATGGCCCTTCTTATGCTCTTATGCTAGCACAAATGATTTATGACACTAAACAGCAGGAGCTGCCATTTTACATGCTGGGAAACACTGACAGCATCATTTTGGTTACAAGATGAAATAAGGACTGACAGTGGTGATTAACATGTGGAGTAATGTTCAAAGATTTCTATCGAGGCTCCTTTGTTTCTCTGCTGTGGCTCTGAATAAGAACCCCCTTAACTGTTATAGTGTAGTTCTCCCATCCCCTGCGCTGACTGCTTCTGAGACACCTTTCCTTTGGCTTTCAGGTTGGGATTCAGGCATTCCGAAAGGGTTACTGAAGAGCAATGTGGTCCCCACCCTTCAAGCACGAAACATCTAAGACCCAAGGCTGTTCCTGAACCAGGATTCTCTACACGATACCACAGCACAATTCCCAAGCTCCTTAGCAATTCTGCTTTTGCATGTAAAAAAAGAGTGATCTATTTTAGAAAAATCCTCACTAAAATTTCCTATTTTTTTTTCTGATCATACAAATCAAAGTTTTGCTTAGTGACTTTGCAGATCGTGTGTATGGCCCCTGGTCACAGCTTTGCTTATAAAAGCATAAGCTGTAAAATGGAATATTTACAACTTATGATTTCCCAAGAGCAAACAAGGGCTCTTTCAGATCTCCTTAAAATGCCTTCTGACATGTAACAGACTGCCTTAAAAATGAACATTTATTTTTGCACTGCAGGATGCGGCAGTTTAGATTTTCATAATGTCTCTATTAAAATAATAAAAGATTATAAGCAAGTTAATGATGCATCTGAAATATTTAATGATGCAAATCAAGCAATGTAATTGTATGTAATTGTAACTGTATGAAATTCTCTGCTGCATACACCCTGTTTTGTCAGACAATTTATTAATCCAGCTTAAAAATAAGCAATGAATAACTGTATAATATTGCAGCTGTTGATGTAATAGCAACACTATTAAAGGATACAAAAGCTTTGTATTTTAAATGTTAATTCTAAATCTCAAAGCCTGGGGCAAGGGAGGGGTGACTAAGAGGCCGACACTTCCTGAAGATTTTCTTTTTTTTAATTTATAAAAGGACAGTTCTTCCCTCTAAAAATATTTCTCTCTGGTTCCCTTACAGGCTACTTTTGGCAGCCTCAGTAGCCTTCTCAAGGTGCTATTAATTAGGGAGCAAATTATAAAAAGGGGTGGAGCTGTGCTCATGCAGAGTCCTTAACATGCAAAGCACACACCGGATGCAGTTCTATTTAGCACCACTTTAGACAGTTCATTCCTATGAAATACGGTTGTAAACACAAATGCAACCAGGTAACTGGGGGATACTGCATTTCCTGGAAGGTGAAATATACTGGCAATTTAAGACCATCAACAATGGTCCCCTCCCCATATTAATATACCCAGCTATTGCTCCATAAAAGTGTATAATATTAACTGATAATACATTTCTTTCTTGTTTATTTTTTATTCATCTCTGTACTAGTGAAGCCATTAAAATAAATATCTTATCGATAAAATTTGTATTCCAGTAATATCTACATACAGCTCTTTGCTATAAATGTTAATTAATTGGATCACCAATACCCATAATGCAGCTTTATTCTGACCCACATGCCCTATGAACTAGATTTTTTTTTGGATTCAGTTTTCTTAAAACCAACTGTCAGCATCATGTGATGGAAGAGATGAAAAATGAAAATGAGCATTCCTGCTGTGCAGGTGAGTGACCTGTGGGAGACAGCTCTGCCTGGTAGGATTTTTACACGTACCATCAGACACAGACCAATTGATTAGATCATCATATACCCGCCACCAACTAGGCTCAAGAGACTAATTAGAGAGAGTACTGCCTGCGCAGGCACCCCATTGACACCTAATTTGCTCAGCCAAAGCCTTTGGGGAGAATGTATTATCTCTGCAGCTGCACTTCATGCATTTCTGATTTGAGGCATAAGCAAGAAGTACTTCATCACTCTTTTGAGCAAACTGAATGTATAAGCCCTTAAGTGCTGAATACAAGCAAACAGAGAAATTAAATCAGGACAGCCTCTTATAAACGCTTCACCCCCCTCAAATATAGGTACATATACATACATTATTTAAGCTCTGTGTCTATATGCACACACATATATATACATAGCATGTATAAGTACGTGTATGCATAACATACATATATAAACAGACATTTATATAAATACATATTTTAAAAAAATACAATTTTTATATATTACAAGGTACTTTGTTTCTCAAATAGATTTGCATTGCGGTAAGTTTGAAAAATACTATTGTTATATTATATGAAAAACATTATTTGCAGTATTGTTAGCGTAAGCCTTCTATTTCTCCACAGGCCAGGATCAGTACAGACAGCCGCCTGTTAGGTTTCTTTACATATCTTCAGTGGCATTAGCTCAGAGGTAAAATAAGTGATTATTTCAGTACTGATTCTAGCTCATTTGTAGGCTTCTCTTCCATAGGCTAAACCATACAGCTGGTTTGTTGAGGAATACTATTCACTGGGGCTAAGTATATGGCTACTTAAAACTGATTTCTCCTGGGCTTTAGTTTTATCCAGTTACTCCATTCTCCTGAAATGCACTGGGGAGCCAAGTCTTAAAGCCGGGATTAAAATTTTATTTTAAAATAGATTATTTGACTCTAGAAATAAACTGTGATTTTTCCAAACTGGCAATGTTCGCAGAAAGTATTTTACAGCAGACTTTATTGTTCAATTCTCTAGCTCACACATCCCATAATTCAAACAAAAAATGGCAGTCTCTCACCACCTCTCAGCTAGATATATTAGAACTGTGCAGAAATGAGGTCTCTTATTTCCAAGACCTTGTCTATACACAAACTTGCACCAGTTTAAAGCTGTCTTGAATTTAATTAAATTGGTGCCAACTCCTGTGTGGACACTCTCAAGTTGGTTCAAGAGTGTCTATGCAGGATTTTGCAACAGTTTAAATAAACTGATTTTAAAAGAGATTTTAGCTAAATTGGCGCAAGTTGTGTGTATAGGCAAGGTGTAAGATTTAATGCCCTTTACCAGATAGGGCAGTGACTCTCAGCCTTTTTCATAAGATGGACCACACCTTAATACAGATGGTATCTCCTCCTATTCTGTCACACAGGCCTCATTCCTTCCAGATCAATTGATATTTATTGTTAGCTGTCTTTAATTGCAGTTTATCAAGCTGGAAACAAACTGAGGAGCTAGTGATCAGCCAGTGTTATACAGAAAATTTACTCATATGCTATTAAATATCATCAGAACCATGCTAGTCAAATAAGTAAAATGTTTTCTGAGGCATTTTATTTACTCTTATATACTGTGTCTTACTTCTTTATTGTGTTCATTTGCTAATTCACGAGTCTCTCTGATTTCAGTCCCAAATAGAAAAATATTGCTGCATATTTTAAACCACTTAGGTTTAAAATGTAGGCAGTGTCTGTTTTTCTTAGTTCCTGATCCTGCAAAGAACTTTGCCTGGGATACTTCCTGCTCCCACACAGAGTCCCGCATTCAAGCACCTGAATGGAGATCATTGCAGGATCAAGATTTTGTTTTATTTACAACTAAAAGATCCTGTAAATGAATTGCCAGATATGAAGAAGTAAACGCAACCAGAAAAAAATAAGAGTACTAACATGAGTATACAAATATCAATGCATTTAAGAAAACAGCAGATAGCCACCTTTCTAATCACAAAAAAACGAACATCCTTGCCCGGTTGAAAACCAGACGCCTGGCAACCCTAGCCACCAAGGATGATTGGCCTATTAGTATGCTGCAGTGGACAGGGCACTAGATTGGGACTCAAAAGACCTGGTTCTATTCTTGACTCTGCCACTGAATAGATGCATGATCTTGGGCAAGTCATTTCACTTCTGTGTGTGTCTGTTTTGTTTGGTTAGATTATAAACTCACTGAGGTAGGAACTGCCTCTTACTGTGTGGTATACAGTACCTAACACAATGAAGTCCTGATGTTACTTGTGACCTCCAGGCGCTCACATTATATAACAATAATAATGAGGCAAAAATCCTGGATCTGAACAGCAGCAAACTTTGGAGTATGTGTTTGAAATCCTAACCCAGATCTGACTATGAATTTTGAACCTGTCATTATAATAGTCCAAATCAAAGTCCTAGATGTCCTTTAACTTTAGATTGTCAGAAATCTGAATCCAGATGTTGTAGCTTGATGCTGTACAATACCTATTATAATGGAGGTTTGATACCTAACTGGGACATCTAGGTGCTATAGTAATATAAAGAATCTCTTAGAACAACACACTCAGGGCATTTTTGCACTCGATATTCAATTACAGAATACCTTGTACACAGATCTCTCAAAATATTTTAACTAACTCTTGCACATTTGTTACTGGACTAAACAAAAATGAATTAGCATTTTATTCTCTGTTTTTGTTTTCACTAATATTTGGTAACATAGTTTGTAGTTGATCTTTTAACCTTTGGGTGTCTGTGGTAACTTCCAAGCTAGTTTTTTCTGTGAGTCTTTCAGCAAAAATTCTCTACTACCCCAAACTGGCCACAGCTGTATTTTTTTTTTCTTTGAGTAGAGAACAAAGTCCACAAAGCCTTTTTCAATTACCATTTGAATAAGGCTTCACATAAAAAATGGCCAGGAAGGAATCTACTATACCTCTTCCAGTCTTTGAGAATAAAATAGAGTCCTCTACAAGTGAGCTCTGGGAAAGTTAATACTTCAGACAGAAGTAGTACAAAAATAGTAGTCTTAGTGAGTTCAATATAGTTTGCAAGGAGAGCCATATGAACCTTATTTTAAAAAAGAAAGAAGCTTAATAGCTCAGACACCAAGATTTTGGAACACATCAAGCCTACAGAAATATCGGTGCCTCTTCTTTCACTAGAATGTGCTTTTCAAACCAGACAATGATGACCCAAATTTTTACAACTTCTTCCATCCTCCTCTTTGTTTTTCCTGTTTCAGCTCTGACCGTCAGCCCCCAGGCATGACACTTACAATGATTTATTGACTTGTCACCTCTGAGGTTGAGCCCAATAAGATCAGTGGGTAAAAACTCACTCAGACATTTATCCCCACAGTTGTGTAGTAAAACTAAGGAACATAACGGGTACGGCTTCCATAGGGTTACCATATCTCAAAAATAAAAAAAGAGGACCCTCCACGGGCCCTGGCCCCGCCCATTTCCCCACCCCTAGCCCCGCCCCAACCCCTCCCCTCCCCACCCTAACTCCGCCCCCTCCTCCCTTCCG